CCCCAGGCAGACACTCACGTTGTACATGTGCGCAAACTCGATTTCCAGGGGCGTGAGCAGGGAGCGAGGCGGGGGCTTCACGGTCACTGAGATGACCTTGGAGTTCAGCACGGTGGTGTTCCTGTGGACGGGGCAGAGTCCGTCAGGCCTCCCGCAGCCCCTGGGAGCCCGCCCACCCCACCCGGCCTTCGGCACCCACCTCTGCAGTGCCAGGAAGCTGCCCAGGTTCCGGTAGAGCACAGTGCCCACGACAAAGACAGACGAGTCGTCAGCCTCTGCAAGACAGAGCCATCAGCGTCTCCCACCCACGCACAGAGCCGTCCACCCCACTGGCTGTCCACCGCTGTCCCTGTGAGAGTCACCTACTCAGCAGGGCCACCCAGGTCCCCGCAGGGTCCTCGTCTGGCAGCCAGACCACTTGGTTGGGGCTCTAGGCAAAGTCCCTGGCCTCACCCTATCACTCAGCAACGGAGGGCCCCTGCACCCCCTCAGCAAAGATTGCCTGGGGCTTCCTCATAGGGACATGCAGCGCTGCCCCAGAAGGACCTGGCATGCTTGGAAGAGAGACGGGGGCATCTTGGGTGAGGGGCTTCAGCCCTCATCTGCCAGCCCCTGCCTCCTGCTCCCCATGCGCTCCCTCCACAGCCAGAGCCCCCACAGACCTCCCCTACCACTGCCCGAGCCCCACCTGCCAGGCCAGTGGAGAAGACGCTCTTGGAGACAGTGACCCTGTCCTCAGGCCCCTTGGCCCAGCCGCCAGTGGCCCGCCAGCCCTTCATGGGGAAGCTGATGTCCATGGCCCTGCTGGCCGGGAGCTTGTGGATGCTGAGCACTGGCGTGAGTAAGGTGGGGGGACAGACAGACAGGCAGAGACGTGATGACGTGATGACGAGGACTCACAGGGGCACAGGGCTGGTGCCAGTCCCCCAAAGACCCAGGGCCTCAGCCTCCCAACACACACTCACACACACACACATATATACACACGCTTGCACACACATGCACACACACATACACACTCACACACTTTTGCTCACATGCACTCACACACACGCACACACTCACACTGGCCTCTATATACACTGGGCAGAGTTCAGTCTGAGCCCCCCGATGCTGGACCCTATTGGCAGCCCTGAGCCTGCTCCCAGCCCTGACAGGGACCAGACCTGGACCACCGTCCCGAGGAAAGGGTCGGGGAAAGGCAGGCCCTGG